AGGGGTGAGAGCTGTCAGCGTAGTCAGTACTGTACTAGGGGTGAGAGCTGTCAGCGTAGTCAGTACTGCACCAGGGGGGAGAGCTGTCAGCGTAGTCAGTACTGCACCAGGGGGGAGAGCTGTCAGCGTAGTCAGTACTGTACCAGAGGGGAGAGCTGTCATCGTAGTCAGTACTGTACCAGGGGGGAGAGCTGTCAGCGTAGTCAGCACTGTACCAGGGGGGAGAGCTGTCAGCGTAGTCAGCACTGTACCAGGGGGGAGAGCTGTCAGCGTAGTCAGTACTGTACCAGGGGGGAGAGCTGTCAGCGTAGTCAGTACTGTACCAGGGGGGAGAGCTGTCAGCGTAGTCAGTACTGTACTAGGGGGGAGAGCTGTCAGCGTAGTCAGTACTGCACTAGGGGGGGGGAGAGCTGTCAGCGTAGTCAGTACTGTAGGGGGGAGAGCTGTCAGCGTAGTCAGTACTGCACCAGGGGGGAGAGCTGTCAGCGTAGTCAGTACTGCACAGGGGGGAGAGCTGTCAGCGTAGTCAGTACTGCACTAGGGGGGAGAGCTGTCAGCGTAGTCAGTACTGTACTAGGGGGGGAGAGCTGTCAGCAGTAGTACTCAGTACTGCTGCACTAGGGGGGAGAGCTGTCAGTACAGTGTACTAGGGGGGGAGAGCTGTCAGCATAGTCAGTACTGCACTAGGGGGGAGAGCTGTCAGTACTGTACTAGGGGGGGAGAGCTGTCAGCATAGTCAGTACTGCACTAGGGGGGAGAGCTGTCAGTACTGTACTAGGGGGGGAGAGCTGTCAGCATAGTCAGTACTGCACTAGGGGGGAGAGCTGTCAGTATTGTACTAGGGGGGGAGAGCTGTCAGCATAGTCAGTACTGCACTAGGGGGGAGAGCTGTCAGTACTGTACTAGGGGGGAGAGCTGTCAGCATAGTCAGTACTGCACTAGGGGTGAGAGCTGTGAACACAAGTTGTCAGAAGACGGGGATCAGTTTATAGTATTAACTTTTAACATTGATTTTTTATCTAACTGCTCTGTTCTCAGGAGCTCTCCAGTATGTTTCGGCATCTCAGATCTCAGGGTAAATTTTACCTCCAACCCATTCTATCACCATAGCAAGCAAATGCTGAAAGAAGTGGTGTAGTAGTCAGTAAAAAGGAAAAAAAAAAAACAAGCATTGTAGCAGCAACTACAATAATCATCACAATATTTTATATGGTTTGAGCCACACAGTGGCTTAGTGGTTATCACTCTGGCCTTGCTGCATTAGGGTCCTTGGTTTGAATCCAAACCAGGAAAAAACCTGCATGGAGTTTGCATGTGCTTCCCAATACTCCAGTTTCCTAACACATGCCAAAAAAGACATGCTTTTGACAGCACTAATTGACTCCTATCTAAATTGGCCCTAGTTTGTGCGTGTGTATGCACCTTAGATTGTAAGCTCCTTGAGGGCAGGGACTGACATGAAAGTGCAACACGTAAAAGGCTACATAAACTGTTGGCACTATTTAAAGCGCTATAAAACCCCAAACCAAAAAATGTCATATTTGCAGCTTACCAGTCATTAGATGTGGTGGCTGCATTGGTCTTCTTTTTTTTAGGCTTTCTTCACTCTGGTTTCAACTGGTGATCTAGCCAATAATACACTTCTGTATTCAGACTGCCAACACTCTGGATGAAGGAGCACAGGGGGTACCTTGGAACAGCAGCATTGTCAATTTGGGGGGGAGTGGAGTGTTAGTTGGACTAGCATATTTAAATACAGTAACAAATTAAAGCCTGCTAAAACTTTATAATCAACATACAGCAAACAGTTTTTTCCTTTTGGGATAAAGATTTTACATGACTAAAGAAAAGCTGAGCATTTTAAGCACCTTCTGACCGCCCCGAAAGGACAGCGGTTCTCTCATTCTGGGGGGACATCATATGATCTCCTCCCACTCTAGCTGCGCATGTGCGCCCTTGGGGGCAAAAGGAGCTGCGATTGGTAGTGCACTGTGTCCCTGGGAGACAGCTGATCACCGATCCCAGTAAAAAGCTGATGACGTCATGTGAAATAGCACACTTGAAAATGAACTTTGGACCTTTTATCTGCTCATTGTAATTTGGATAATGAGGGAATAACACACACCTGGCCATGGAACAGCTGAGAGGCCAATTGTCCCATTACTTCTGGTCCCTTAACAAGTGGGAGGCACATATGCAAACTGTTGTAATTCCTACACCGTTCACCTGATTTGGATGTAAATACCCTCAAATTAAAGCTGACAGTCTGCAGTTAAAGCACATCTTGTTCGTTTCATTTCAAATCCATTGTGGTGGTGTATAGAGCCAAAAATGTTAGAATTGTGTCTATGTCCCAATATTTATGGACCTGACTGTATATACAAAGGCAGATCCTGGACGGTTCTTTTCTTAAAAGCCATCAGTCCTTGCGATCAGTAACAACAGCCCTTTATGGGCGAGGAACTAGCAGCCCCTCAAAAAATCAGCTTAACTTCTCGTAACTACATGCAAGAATATCTTCTCTCCATCTGTAGAGCTGCTTCCAGCTTCACAGCCTGCAAACACTACCAGCCCTCCTGGCTTCTCGGAGGATCTCCCAGGACAAGGATAATGGATTGAGCCCAGTGCTATCCTTAGAAAGCTTGCTGTGTGTGGCAGTCTCTCTCCTTGTGGATCCCAGAGAGTGCTGCTGTACTCACACTGTCCTCCTTGCTCCCTGCTGCTCCAGGTCTCAGTCCCACTCACACCTTACTGCTGAATGTATCCCCTTGAGCCGGTCCGAGCCTAGCCTGGAGACCAGCCCCCCCTAGACTTAGGGGACCCCTCCCAGGCACTGACAATCTCCTCAGCACTCCATCTTCCATCTGACTCATCTGTCAGTCTGACTCTCCCATATTTATGGGCCAGTCCACCACTCTACCAGGTCCTCCAAACCTGGGATTGGCCAGACTCCCATAGACATGCAGATTAAATCTCCACCCCTTCCTACATACTGACTTCTGGAAGGTTCTATGGACCTCCAGAGTCATGAGGAGGCGATAGAGCCACAATCTGTTGAGTCATCCAGCTGACCTGCAATAACCCAACTTCAATCACAGACTCCCACAGTTACCAGGAGCCATACACAATGTTTATACTTGTCATACACTATTCTAGTAGCACACTAGAGGGTGCTACACTTGGTTATCACAAGAACTAGTATCTCCTTTGCAAGTTTTCTTCTTTGTTCCTGTTCTAGTGACAGCCCAAAATGTGGGATTTTCTTCTACTTTCACTCTTGGTGATAACGGTGACCAGGACAAATAAAAAGGGTGAGTCTCCCTAACAGGGGCACAGAAAGCAATAAAAACATGACGGGGGCCTGAATGCTCTCTCTAACCAAACTAAAGAAAATTGCCTTTAGTCATACTTTAATAATATCTAATAAATAATAATAGTGTTATCTTCACATGCACACAGATTTTCTATGTGTATTTGTCTCATTAGCTCCCCTAATGGGCCTCCCTTCCACCCCTGGGCCTTAATGCAGTTGTGTGGGCTGCTATGGCTATTGGTACACCACTGGGTGTATTAGACCCTGTGTTCCTCTGTACTGTAATACATTAAATAAAATTTGTTCATCAAAATATCACAAGTGTCTGAATTTGGCCATGATTGTGGCAGAAAAGTGTTGAAATAACCAGTGTTTTTTTGGTGACAATAGAGTGCAGGAATAATTTTAGAATCAGAAAAATATGGTCTCACCGTCCATGATAAAACAGTTTTGTAGCAATGAGAACAATGATAGAACCAACAGCAAGAAAAATAGAAGACTTTGCAGTCAGCTCAAAAAGAATTTGTCTCTCTTTGCCCGGAGTGTCTCTTTATTAAAGCTCCCATTGTGCGGAGTGTGAGGTGTTTTCTTGTAGCGCTTTCCATCTTTGTTTCTAGGTGAAGGGCAGAGCGTGGCGGCCGATTGCTCCCAGCATAACACTGAACCTATATACATCTTTCTGTCATGTTTATGTAATTTGTGCGTTCTAAGCAGCGCTCACACATAGATGCTCAGCCCAGATTCCCCATCCCTTCCTATAGAGAGATTCGCCCGCCAGTACTGCGCCCGATCCAAGGGCCGTATTCCATCATTCTGCAGCCAGAGCCGGTGATGGGCTAAATTCTCTCCGACAAGGACAAACAGATAAAGGAGCTCAGGAAGCTGTTCATAAATCATGCCGCAGCCCCAGGACTGCTGATGCTGAATTTCAGGGAGGTTTCTGCATCTTTCGTGGACCACCCAAAATAACAGACAAGGAAGGGGAAAGCCTGATGGCTCCCAGGGTGATGGTTAAGAATATTAAACATCCTCTCACACAGGATTCACCTGAGGCTGGGGTGAAGATGTTTTATATCTGTAATATCAGCTCTTCCTTACTGAATCTATTCACAGAGACAAACATGTGCTTCCAAAGGAGTCCCCACCATCAATGCATTAACCAGCAACAGGAGTCCAGCCATTTGTTGCTACAGGTGGGAGTGTTGGTGGGCTGCCTGGAGTTTATGTGAGCTTCTCAGCCTTGGTTTCAGGGAAGGAAGCTGTCGGTGCTGGGAAAATCAACTGGGGGCAGTTGCCTGGACCAGCACTGGCAGCTTCCTTCCAGGTTCAACTGAACATAGGTTTGGACCCAGCCCAAGCTCATGCCTACTGAGGAAGGTTGCTGCAATGGTGGGATATTAGGGGCTGCTTTGAAGACATCTAAAGGCCCAGTGTGTGTCTTCTCCTTGGGGGGCAAACTGGGATCATTTCCCCAAAGGGGCTGAGCCAGGAGAGCTGGAGAGCCTTAGTAGAACAGAAGTTAAAGGACTCCCTTTTGTGGATAGTGGGTCAAGAATATGTAAGTTAAAAAAAAAGAACAAAAGAGGAAAAGCAGATTACTCTAAGAATTACTAAGAAGAACTGGATACCCTGAAGCCTCCAGTTATGTTACAACCACAAAGTCTTCTTTCATTCCTATGGATGCTTGGTTGCTCCCAGGGGCGGACTGACCATTTGGAAACTCGGGCACTGCCCGAGGGCCTGGGGTCAGTAGGGGACCCCATGAAATGCCCCTGGTACCTTTTTCATAGGCTTTTTTGAGTTTGGGCAAGGACACAAGGGCCCCATGATCCCCTATTGCCTGGGGGCCCCATGAGTTGTCAGTCCGCCCCTGGTTGCTCCTAAACCTGGAGAGATTGAAGACCAGCTGTGGTTGAGAAATGGCTTAGTTGAGGAGGGTCAGTCTGCTGGGCATTGGTAAGACTAGTCATTCTGTAGTGCCGAGTGCCATGTTGTGCTTTTGATGAATTATGAATGAATGAATTAATTAATCCAAAAATATTTTCTGCCAGGTAACGCCTGGACAAATAATTGTGTCAGCTAAAGGTGCTTGCAAATATAGCAATAATTTAGAAAATGATTTAACTGACTTAATTAATAATTCTGAGTAATTTAGAGCCAACCAAAATCCATTTTTAACAAACACAAAGTAGATCAGTGGAAATACGGACTACAGATTATGACATAAATTATTATTTATTTACAATAAGTCACATATAAACACATACTGTAATAGCTCGATTGTGATGCACATAGACATCAAAATAATTTGCATAAACTTTACCAAATTTTTTTTCCGTAGCACTAGTTTACATATAGATATATATCTAGGATAAATAAAATCAACAATTAATTTCTCCCCATAGACAAACTAACCATTAATATCTAACTATCCGACAATAGTCTGTGTTTTATGGAATTTCAGCGGTTATTCCCTTGCAGAAGGAATAAGCATCAAAATACGCAAAACCAGATGCCAATATAGCCCAAGCACAAAATAAGAATAATACTACTACTAAGACTAAACTATATAAAGATGGCTGGTGATTTCATCGTAACGAGACAATTAAATTGCCACCAAAATGACATTAAGTTTATTAATTTAAACAATCAGAATTACCAGGATATAGTTTATAGTTACCCTCCAATTCTCAGGTAAATCAAAAGATGGCTGCTGATTATTGGGTGGAGCTGAGCTCTCAGTTTTGGGTCACGTTGTTCTTTAAAATGTAATTTCAGCTCTGTGTGAATTATCATATGCCATCTGAAAGCTAAAATCAGCCTTGCAGCTTGTGGTGCTGACAGACGAAAAGGGGGCTCCATCCCACTACCCCACCCAGGTACCTCCCCATCAGGGGTGGACTGACAACTCATGGGGCCCCCAGGCAATAGGGGATCATGGGGCCCCTGTGTCCTTGCCCAAACTCAAAAAAGCCTATGAGAAAGGTACCAGGGGCATCTCATGGGGCCCCCTACTGACCCCGGGCCCTCCAAATGGTCAGTCCCCCCCTGCTTCCCATCCATCTGCAAGCTACCACTGCTCAAAAGACTCCACAAAAAACATAGTAGCTTATTTAGTATTAAAGCATCTCTCCGTTCTCATAGTTTTTGGCTAGACTACCCACCTTCCGTGCAACTGTTCAAAGACAGTTGGATTAATTTCTTGGTTCTAGACTTTCTGTTTTTATCTATCAGGTGTATAAAAAACATCCAGTTCCTTTTATTTTTAATTACATCATGGAATTTCACAATACTACCTCATGTAGTAAAGGATTTCAGAGACTAAACACTTACCATAAAGAGCCCTTCTTGACCACTCTTACTGCAAAGAACCCTTCTTAACCATCTTTACTGTTAAAAACAAAACCTTAACTACTTACTGTAAATAACCCTTCTTCACAACTTTTACATGAAATAACCTTTCTTAACTACTTTTATTTTAAAGAACCCTCTTAACCACTCTTACTGTAAAGAACCCCCTTAACCACTTTTACTGTAAATAACCATTATCAACTACTCTTACTGAAAATAACCATTTTTTAACTACTTTTACTGTAAAGAACCCCCCTTAACCACTTTTACTGTAAAGAATCCTTCAACTACTCTTATTGTAAATAACCCTTCTTAACCACTTTTACTGCAAAGAAGCCCGCTTAACCAATTTTACTGTAACAAACCCTTCTTAACTACTCTTACTGTAAAGAACCCTTCTTAATCACTCAGTAAAAGTTTTGTCCTGCTGCACTCACATACAGTAATACAGTAAATAAGGACAGTAATAACCCAGATTAAGTCTCTGTTGTTGGCACCTTTTTTGGGAAGGGGGTAAAATCTTTAAACCTTGAGCAAAGTGGGGAGAAGAAATGGCCATACCCTGAAGATTATGTTTCAGGCTGATGCAAATAGTAGAGTTTTTCTTTTTAAAGAAGTACATATTAACAGTACAAATAGAGAAAGACAATGACTGTCATTAGAATGCGAAGGGTTCTTTACGGTAAAAAGACAATTGTCCTCAGAATGGACAGGATTCTTCATTGTAGGAAGACAATGATTGCCATTAGAATGGTAGGGGTTCTTTACCCTAAAAAGACAACGATCATCATCAGAATAGGAAAGGTTCTTAACAGTAAAAAGACAACGATCATCATCAGACTGAGAAGGGTTCTTTATGGTAAAAGGACACTGGTTGTCATCAGAATGGGAAGGGTCCTTTACAGTAAAAAGTCAATGATCATCATCAATATGGGAAGAGTTCTCTTTGGTAAAAAGACAATGATCGTCATCTGAATAGAAAGGATTCTTTACAGTTAAAAGATAATTGTCATCAGAATGTGAAGGGTTCTTTACAGTAAAATGACAGTGGGCGCCATCAAATTGAGAAAGGATCCTTAAGATAAAAAGACAATGAACTCCATCAGAATGGGAAGGATTCTTTATGGTAAAAAAGGCAATAATCACCATCAGAGTGGGAAGGGTTCTTTATGGTAAAAAGACAACAATTGCCATCAGAATGGAAAGGGTCATTTACAGTAAAAAGACAATGATCCCCCTCAATATGGGAAGAATTATTTACGGTAAAAAGATAATGATTGCTATCAGAATGGGAAGGATTCTTTATGGTAAAAAATACAATGATCGCCATCAGAATGGGAAATGTCCTGAATAGTAAACATACAACAATCACCATCAAAATGGGAAGAGTTCTTTATGGTAAAAAGACAATGTTCACCATCTGAATGGGAAGGATTCTTTACGGTAAAAAGACAACAATTCTCATCAGAATAGGAAGGGTTCTTTACAGTAAAGAGGCAGTGATCACCATCAGAATGGGAAAGGTTCTTTAAAGTAAAAGACAATGAACGGCATCAGAATGGGAAGGATTCTTTATGTTAATAAGACAATGATCGCCATCAGAATGGGAAGGATTCTTTACAGTAAAAAGACAATGATTGCCATCAGAATGGGAAGGGTTCTTTACAGTAAAATAAAAGACAATGATTGCCATCAGAATGGAAAGCGTTCTTTACAATAAAAAGACAATGATTGCCATCAGAATGGAAAGGGTTCTTTACAGTAAAAAGACAATGATTGTCATCAGAATGGAAAGGGTTCTTTACAGTAAAAAGACAATGATTGCCATCAGAATGGAAAGGGTTCTTTACAGTATTAAGTAGTTAAGCTCTGGAACGCTTTAAGGCATGAGATATTACTGGCAAAATCAATAATGAAATATAAAAAATCTGGATGTTTTTCTTATACCTGAAGGATAAAATGGGATTGTTTTGAACCTGGGAATGGGTCCAAATTTTTGTTGGGTCAGGAAAGAGTTTTCCATTGTGAGACAGAATTGGCCACAGTTGTTGGTAAGGGGGGTGATTGTCTTCCTCCAGCCAAAAATTGTTGGAGTTGTGAGACTCCTGATGGACACGTGTCTTTTTTTCAGCCCAGTTAACTATGTAACCATGTCCGCTACAGAGCCTCTTGAGCAGTGATAGCTTGTCAATCAGCTTCTCTTTGCCTCCTATTAATCCTTTGAACTGTACGCCAGCCAGCGATGTACACCCTGCGGCTGAATATAGGAATATCCATGTGTTTTATGAGCGATCGTACAAACTCTATCAGAATTCATGCCGGATTCCGCCTGGCGGGTTCATGCACTGTGTCTGTTGCATGTTAATTTGTGTTTCTCTCTTCCAGCAAGTTTCCCGTCTCGTCCTCCTGTTTATTGCATCGTGTTCTAGGCAGATAATCGGCCTCTGGTTCCGCTCTTGTTACCCCGGGTGTGGAGGGGGATTTGGCTCAGCCGTTTTGGCTCTTTATGTATTTCATAAGACGCAGCGGCATACCTTTACTGTTCTTAAGGTAAGTATTTACTAATACGGCGTGTCCTTGGAAAGTTTAGCATCACACGCCGGCGGCTCTTGCTTATGCCACATGGTAAGCCGCCAGTTTTCTGCGCTCCCTGCCAGTGTTTTCTCCTGGACTGGGTATAGACCATTCTGGGGTATCGGTGAGGTCACAATGAGGGGCATTTTAAAGTGGCTGTAAACCTCAGACATGAAATATGAACAAAGCATATCCTGCTACTTGCCTCAATTAAAAGCACTAAGTGTCATTTCTGTCTGCTGCTTCATTCCTCTGCATGAATCACTTCTGAAGTTTTCCTGAGACCATGAGAAAAAAGGTGATGATGAGGAACCTCCAGTATACAGCCTGTGATTTACAGCCTCAGCTCTGTTCCTGTGAGCTGTGTGGAGGGGGGTGTCCCTTCCCTCCAATCAGCTCTCAGAACTCTCCTCACTGAGCTCTGGAGAGTGCAATTTAAGCTCTCCTCCCCCCGCTTTCTGACAGCTCAGACAAGCTGTATAAATTCTGCACTTTAAAAAGTTGTAGAGAATACTACAGATAAACAGGTACAACTTATGTAGGAGGATTTGTTTTGTCTCTGTGCGTATTGTGAGGCCAGTCACTTCACTGGGTATATGTAAGGGTCTACAACCACAACAACCCCTATGTAAAATGGTACTAAAGGTTCCAATTATTTTATTTAAAATAACAAACCTACCTGCTCTGTGCAATGGTTTTGCACAGAGCAGCCCCAATCCTCCTCTTCTTAGGTCCCCTGCTTGTGCTCCCTGCTCCTCCCCCTGCTAAGTGCCCCCATAGCAGGCAACTTACTATGGGGGCACTCATACGTGTTCGCTCCCGAGCCCATAAGACACAAAGAACGAGGCTAGGCCCCTCCCACCAATCCCTCCTCATTGGCTGCGATTGACAGCAGCGGAAGCCAACGTGGTCAATTCAATACTTGTTTTTGCCCGTAGTGATGGCAAACTTCAAAACAGCAGGATGGAAATTTTTTCTGAAACAGATGAATTTCTAAAGCTGATCATACATGGATCAAAATTATTGGTGTATTTTTGATCCCTGTGTGGGCACCCTGGTTGTACAGATATTTGATCTACCAATCGACTTCCGTGCAATCAGCCTGTTGAGTTTTTTTCTGATTGATCGGTGCCACAGACTATAGCCGGAATCACTGAATCAGTGTATTTTGATGGTGCCATTAGAACACAGTAGCACAGCAGAAGTGAGTCTCACATCCACATCCAGTGTGGATGGAAGAATCGGATCAATTAGTGATGAATCTATGGGCTGCTTAACTCTGAATGACATTTTTGTTTGGTGTTAATCATACATATTGTAATAACATCTGTTTAACCCCTTTACAAGTGCCTATGACATATGTGCAGTGCAAGAGCGACTGCTAACATCGTTGTCTCTGTGCTGAGAGCGCACTCACTGTGTACTCCTGGAACAGAGACTAAGTGGATGACTCTTGGCCCCTAATGACTAGTAGCAGGACAGGCTACCGATCATGTGAACAATGTGAAAGACAATCACAGTGGCTCTGTTATTGGCTGATCTCCCCCCCCCCCCCCATGTTTAGAACCTTTTATAGGGACATCAGCAGGTGTGAATTTACCACAAGGCATTTGCCTAGGGCGGCAATTTTCAGGGGGGGTAGCACTGCCCCTCGGAAGAAGGAATGGAAGACAGGACACATGCAGCATGGGGACCTGGTGGGTTCCAAGAGAGGCTGCGAGTTTTATGACGGTGTATGCACAGCCCGACTCTCGTTCCCGGGGATGTCCGGAAATGTGAAGGTGAGTGTCTTTCTTTCTCTCGCCATGGGGGATGGCTGGCTGGTGTATGGGGGGGCAGTGGTAGTGGAAGGCTCTCTTGGGTGGGAGGCAGGGGTGTTGTTGATCAATGTCAGGCTCTCTCTGCAGGGGGGGGCGATTTTGGTGTTGCCTAGGGCAGCACAAAACCTAAATACACCACTGGACACCAGGGTGGACGAGAAAGGGTTAAAGCTTCTGGGGTATGATTCAAATAGCTGGTCTGGACCAGATTTTAAAGGGCTTTTGAACAAAATGAGTTGACTCAATGGCAAGAAATAAATGACTTTCCTACAAATGTTCAATGAAAATCTAACCGTGTTTGGCCAGCTTTACCCCATTGCTAATGATGGGAAATGATCCGGAGTCTTTAAAAGTGAAAGCGGCCTCTAACAGTTTTTTGTAACATATTGGCAGTGTTCTTGTAACATGGGACTAGTGTCTTCAATGTCTCTCTCCATTCAGTGTCTCACAGTTTCTTGTAATGTTGGACCAGTATCATAGTTGTCAGTTTAGCAGTTTCTTGTAGCATGGGTCTTGTATGTTGTTAGAAGTCTCTCTTGTAACATATCGACAGTTTAGCAGGTTCTTGTAACATGGGACTAGTGTCTTCAATGTCTCTCTCCATTCAATGTCTCACAGTTTCTTGTAATGTTGGACCAGTATCATAGTCAGCAGTTTAGCAGTTTCTTGTAACATGGGTCTTGTATGTTGTTAGAAGTCTCTCTTGTAACAGATCAGCAGTCCTCAGCCATTTGGAAGCAATATGGTCTATCATAGGAACAGTCTCAGTAGATGTCTGTTGCACCACTTAGGAAATCTTTTTTAGTCTCTCATACCATATTGACAGTCTAACAGTCTTTTAGATGTTCGCAGCCCCTGGAGATCCATGGTGGTCTCTGGAGTTCCCAGCAGTTGTTTGCTGTAATAGTGCCAGTCCCTAGATATCTGTTATATAATGTTAAAAGTTCTTTGGAGTCTCTTGTAACATGTTGGCAGCCTCTATCGCTCTCTTGTCGCAGCAGCAGTCTCTTGTAGTTGGGCAGCCATCTGGTATCACAGCATCACTGAAGGTGGGTTTGGATTGTGGTTCCAGCTCTAAACTCTGTTGGTTGGGTCGCAGGTACAGATGTCCTCTCTGAGAAGGTTGCCAGTAAGGCCATGGCTCACAGGTTCCTGCCAGGAGTTGGCTGGTCTACAGAAGAAGACATATGGAGATCTTCAGTCCATAACTCTGTATGTTAGTGCTGTACATGTACACCCACTCATCAAAGAGGGGGCCCCTCCACCCCTCTCTGTGGCCCCCTGCAGCATGGATTAAAAGATTATCTGTGGGTCTCTCTAGCTGTGAATTTGGGTTAACAGTGCAATGAAAAGGGAAGCGCCCTCGCATCTCCAGCACCACAAGCTGAGCAGTAATTAGAGAGTAACCCTCATTTAAATGCAAATGAGCCTGCAATTAACAGAGCAGCTTGGGCAGTTGGTTATTTCCCGGCCAGCACAGGATTCGGCAGCCATGACTGGCGGGCTGCACAGCTGTGTTTGTCAGGTTATACGGCTGGATGAAGCTTTCTGCTGCAGAATTTAACTGTTTCCCTAGAAAACATTGTCTTCTCTCTTTCTCTGGAGTTGACTGACAGATTTAAAAATAAGTCAGATCTCTGGCTGGGACATGCGCAGAGATTGGTGATAAAATGAAATATTTAACCCCAACAGACTCTTCCACAAGCTTGTAATCGTGTTTGTATTCTCGTCGCTGTCATTTCTCGAGATTCTCTGAGCGTTTTGTGTCCATACAAAGAGGAGGCTGCAAATCGATCGTCCGTTAATTAAAGGGACTTTACTCAGCCTTCAGATTTTTATAGTCCAGTCTTTCACTTATAGTTGGAGTCTGGTGTCTGAGGCAGCTGATGGAGTCCATTTTTTTTTCAATAAACCTACAGATCTCTCAGTTAGGGGAAGAATGAAAATAATAATATAGGGTGACCATATCGGATTAGAACTTGTAATGTTTTTCTGACAGTATGTTTTATCACATTCACGTGATATTATATATCCTTGGGGTTATTTACAAGAAGTGTAAAGAGAGATCACACAAACACTTGTAGGTAAAATCAATCTGTATATAACATTTAATTAAGAAATGACAGATAAAGATAACAAAATGTAGCAATATTGGAAAAGTGTAACAAGATACTTAGCTATAGATGCCTTTCACCAAGGAGTCCCGCCCATTTCTATTACCGTATTTTTTGCTCCATAACACTCACCTTTTTCCATCCCAAAAAATGGGGGAAAATGTCTGTGCGTCTTATGGAGCGAATATGGACCCACCGCCATCGTGTTAGAATACCGGGCCGGCCGCTCGGTTCTACTGTGCAGAAGAACCCGTTCCTCCGTCCTACTTGTTCCTTGGTCCAGCGGTGTCCTGCTTCCATCAGCCGTCTTCTTTACCCGGCGCCGGCATCTTCAGTGTGGACACCCGACTGTGACAGGTTGCGGCTTCACAGGCGGGTGTCCACTGCGCATGTGCGAGAAGCGCTGTGCTTTGTGAATGGCCCTATAGTCTTGTGGGACCTGTCACGTGTCCCAGAAGACTACGGGGCGGGAGGGGGGGGGGACAACTCTGCAGAAGTGGGAATGGGTACCTGTCAAATTCAGGTACCCGACTCCCCCCTCCCTTTTCTCCCCAAAGGTCCGCAGTCTGTGGTCATCTCCTGTACTATGTCCACAGTCTCTGGTCATCTCCTGTACTATATCCGCAGTCTCTGGTCATCTCCTGTACTGTGTCCGCAGTCTCTGGTCATCTCTTGTACTATGTCCGCAGTCTCTGGTCATCTCCTGTACTATGTCCGCAGTCTCTGGTCATCTCCTGTACTATGTCCGCAGTCTCTGGTCATCTCCTGTACTATGACTGAAGTCTCTGGTCATCTCCTGTACTATGTCCGCAGTCTCTGGTTATCTCCTGTACTATGTCCGCAGTCTCTGGTCATCTCCTGTACTATGTCCGCAGTCTCTGGTCATCCCCTGTACTGTGTCCGCAGTCTCTGTCATCCCCTGTACTGTGTCCGCAGTCTCTGGTCATCTCCTGTACTGTGTCCGCAGTCTCTGGTCATCTCCTGTACTGTGTCCGCAGTCTCTGGTCATCTCCTGTACATATGTCCACAGTCTCTGGTCATCTCCTGTACTGAGTCCGCAGTCTCTGGTCATCTCCTGTACTATGTCCACAGTCTCTGGTCATTTCCTGTACTATGTCTGCAGTCTGTGGTCATCTCCTTTACTATGTCCACAGTCTCTGGTCATCTCCTGTAGTATGTCCGCAGTCTCTGGTAATCTGTAGTATGTCCGCAGTCTCTGGTAATCTCCTGTACTATGCCTGCAGTCTCTGGTCATCTCCTTTACTATGTCCACAGTCTCTGCTCATCTCCTTTACTATGTCCGCAGTCTCTGGTCATCTCCTGTAGTATGTCTGCAGTCTCTGGTCATCTCCTGTACTATGTCCGCAGTCTCTGGTCATCTCCTGTACTATGTCCGCAGTCTCTGGTCATCTCCTGTACTATGTCCGCAGTCTCTGGTCATCTCCTGTACTATATCTGCAGTCTCTGGTCATCTCCTGTAGTATGTCTGCAGTCTCTGGTCATCTCCTGTACTATGTCCGCAGTCTTTGGTCATCTCCTGTACTGAGTCCGCAGTCTCTGGTCATTTCCTGTACTATGTCTGCAGTCTGTGGTCATCTCCTTTACTATGTCCACAGTCTCTGGTCATCTCCTGTAGTATGTCTGCAGTCTCAGGTCATCTCCTGTACTATGTCCGCAGTCTCTGGTAATCTGTAGTATGTCCGTCTCTGGTAATCTCCTGTACTATGCCTGCAGTCTCTGGTCATCTCCTTTACTATGTCCACAGTCTCTGGTCATCTCCTTTACTATGTCCGCAGTCTCTGGTCATCTCCTGTACTATGTCCGCAGTCTCTGGTCATCTCCTGTACTGTGTCCGCAGTCTCTGGTCATCTCCTATAGTATGTCCACAGTCTCTGGTCATCTGTAGTATGTCCGCAGTATCTGATCAACTCCTGTACTATGTCTGCAGTCTCTGGTCATCTCCTGTACTATGTCTGCAGTCTCTGGTCATCTCCTGTAGTATGTCTGCAGTCTCTGGTCATCTCCTGTACTATGTCTGCAGTCTCTGGTCATCTCCTGCACTATGTCTGCAGTCTCTGGTCATCTCCTGTAGTATGTCTGCAGTCTCTGGTCATCTCCTGTAGTATGTCTGCAGTCTCTGGTCATCTCCTGTAGTATGTCTGCAGTCTCTGGTCATCTCCTGTACTATGTCCGCAGTCTCTGGTCATCTCCTGTACTATGTCCGCAGTCTCTGGTCATCTCCTGTACTATGTCCGCAGTCTCTGGTCATCTCCTGTACTATGTCCGCAGTCTCTAGTCATATCCTGTACTATGTCCACAGTCTCAGGTCATCTCCTGTACTATGTCTGCACTCTCTGGTCATTTCCTTTACTATGTCTACAGTCCATTGGTTCAGAATTTTTTTTCTTGTGTTCCTCCTCTAAAATCTAGGTGCGTCTTATGGCACCGATCATCAGGGCACTGATCATCAGTGCCCTGATGATCGGTGCACAGCAGTGCCACCCACCAGTTCCACCCACCTGTGCCCAACAGTGCCGCCCACCTGTGCCCAGAAGTGCCACCCACCTGTGCCTAGCAGTGCCCACCCACCTGTGCCCATCAGTACCGCCAGTCAGTGCCCAGCAGTTCCACCAGTCACTGCCCAGCAGTTGCGCCAGTTAGTGCCGACTGTCAGTGCCAACTATCAGTACCCATGGAGAAAAAGTACCCGTTTGCAAAATTTTATAATAGAAACAAAGAAACTTTTTTTTCAAATTGTTTGCTTTTTTTTTGTTTATAGCGCAAAAAGTAAAACACCCAGCAGCAAGTAAATACCACCAAAAGAAAGCTCTATTTGTGGGGGAAAAATTATAAAAAGTTCATATGGGTATAATGTTGCATGACTGCGCAATTGTCATTCAAAATACGACAACGCTGAAAGCTGAATATTGGCCTGGTAAGGAAGGGGGTATAAGTGCCCGGTAGGCAAGTGGTTAAAAATACATCCTGCCTTTCCTGACTTTGCATGGTTCGTGGCTCTCAATCCGGACTGTCGGTGTCAGCTCTGGGACCCCTGACGAAAGGCAACCAATCAAAGTGGTTTGTGAATATGTAATCAGATGTGACATAATGATCACGTGAGTATATGATTCAGTTTATCGATGTTTTTAAATACTTGAATTTTCTTTTTCTATTGATTGAACTAGATAGACTCAATGGTGTAATTTTTTCAGCTAGACTAGGCACAGGTTGTATAGATAACATGCAGGCTGGTGCCCTTCAGTTATAAAATTAGCCTTCAGCCTGCAGATGACACTACAGCCTGAAGGTGGCAATGTTCATCTGTTCAATTCTGTAGTTGTCAAATACAATTACATTATTTAAAAAATGATTTGGTTTTTTTTTTTTTTTTTTTTTTTACAGGTGTGCATATTAATCAATCTATAATAAAAAGAACATCATTTGTATTATACAGTGTACCAAATAGAAGCCTTGAAAAAATAAATTTATTACAGCTGCTTATATAGCACCTGCAATTTACGCAGTGCTTTACATGTATGTGGTACTTTCACATCAGTTCTTGCCCGCAAGGAGTTTACAATGTAAGGTCCCTAACTCACATTCATACATACACATACTAGGGCCAATTTAGACAGGATCCAGTTAACCTTCCAGCATGTCTTTGGAGTGTAGGAGGAAACCGGAGTACCCGGAAGAAACCCACGCAGGCACAGACATACATATAAATATATATATATATATATTAATTAATATACTGTATATGCTTCATGTTTACAAAAAAGTCATGCTAACTCACACATACTGCTGCTACTGAGGTTGACCTGCGCATCTAGGGAATAAAACCCTCTGGTCATAAAAGGGTTAAATTAGTGATAAACCAAAATTTGTATAACAATGTGCAGCGCTATTAAGTGTGTTATTAATCCTTCATAAATAATTCATATATACAAATTAAAGGTAATAATAAAAAAAATTTACCTCATAAATAATTCATACTTAATTCATATATACCAGTATAAATAATAAATTATAAATAATTTTAATAATAATAATAAAGTGCTATATCAGTACATAATGATAGTGAATTCAACATAAAATCCATTAAAAAACACAGGATAATGCCTCTTTCAATGTGTGCCACCTTCTGCGCTTGATCCTGCAATACTCAGTGATCACACCACCACCAGATGTCTGTTTAACTTATATATATGACCTCACATCACTGCTTGGTCATATAGCGCTTTTTGTCCCTTTGTGGACACTGTAGATGCTGGTTTTTAGTTCCCGGTCAATATACACAGCTCCGTTCACCTCCTCCTCAGTCACCACTCCGTTTCATAAAAATAAAACCTGAGATAGTGCCTTATCCTTTAAAACTTTTTATTCCATCATAAAACCAATACTATTGCACTCACTTATAATTGTTGCCAGATCACGCGTGATATATATAGCGTGTTTACAAGTGACGGCAGTCGTGTGCAATACCGCTCTCACCACTATGATTTCAGATCCTTCCTTCCGAGCATTGTGACGTCATCCAATAGGCCCACCCCTACGCGTTTCGTCACCCACACACGTGACTTCCTCAGAGGGTAATTTAATTTGGTTAAATTAGTAAACTGTTCCAGTACATATTTCATACATCTGGGCAATTGAAATTAAATGCACAACTTACTTTCATTGGAGACTGTAGCTGAAGTTGGAAGTCATTCTCGACTTTTCCTTGAAAAATAAATACTTTCCTATTTACAGACCTCATTGTCTCTGTCCCAGTGTTCTCATCTTCCTTTCCTGCCTGACATACTGTAAAAGGATCCAAAAATCATTCCAGCACTAGGAATGAACAAAGTAATTTCCCTGAACGTGCTTTTCAGCAAAATTACTGATTTCATCTATATTTCATGAAAATCTTTGCCTTGTGGAAATCAAGGAGAAATTTGCTTGTAAAAAACAAAAATTACCTAAACAGCAGCTCAACCCTTATAAGGGAATCGCTAAAAAATGTATTGTTTTTGGATGCACCCAATGTGCACTAAGAAAGAAATGCTTTAAAATTTGTTGCAAAATAAATAAATTAACAATTTATATGTGTTTTTCATGCTTTGACATGCCTTAGTGCACTTGTAAGCAGGTGCATTTAACTAGTTTGCCACTAGGTGACTCTGTCCCAGAATGGTGAGCGGTAACGGAGAATAGTGCAATCAGGTGTTAGGTCCTTTTAGCTAGATCCTTCCTGTACTGATGACATAGGTCAGTCAATGCCCATATTTCAGGCAGGTTGGGAGGGGCCAAAAATAGAGTCAGGGATGAGAGCCAGATACCCCACCACCATACAGACATAGTCTGCTGTGCAGAGGCCTTGGATAGGGCTGGAGGATGGGGAAAGGAAGTTCTGCACCCAGAAGAGTTGGCTGTAGTCATCCTGTCTCTTATGGTGGTGGAGGTTAGAGTGGGTTGCAAAAGGCCTTTTAGGCCATGAGTTGAGTCAACCCTACTGGAGGACCTAGGAGAAGGTACTGGAGCTAGAAGTACAGCTGCAGTGATCCAGTTAAAGTGATACATTATTCCTTGCATTAGGGCAAAAAAAATGTTTTACCTCTCTGTCCTCCCCCTTTCCTGTGTGAAGGGAAGAGAGGGGAGAAGTGATCCAGCACTGGAACTCAAACAGCAGCAGGTGCTATTGGCTCCTGCTGCTGTCAATCAAATTCAGTGAGGAGGAAGTGGGGGGCAGGGCTAAGTCCTGCTGTGTGTGTCTATGGAGCGCAACTCCATATACACACAGCTTGGGAGCGAGCAGACACCGTGTGCCCCCATAGCAGTCGTTGGCTATGGGGACACACAAAGAAGAAGAGGAGCCAAAATCGCTGGCAGGGGACCCAAAAAGAGCACAGAGCAGGTGAGTATAACATGTTTGTTTTTTTAATTTAAAAAAATTTGATTTTAGTAACACTTTAACTCCACCCACAGTCCACTTCATGCTTGCCCAGTGACTTGCCGGAGTGTCCTGCCCAAATCCTGCCTCTAATTATGAGGGGACCAACCACTCGCACTCATGATTTTCACCAAAATTCATTTTCATTCATCCGTACCCGCCACGTTTCCTGCTGAAGATCTGACAGCACAAGTTTGTGGCCCTTCTCTGGCCTCTGTTGGATTATCTTTCTGTCGATGAACTCTCCAATGTATTTATTAATACATAATGATGCCAGGGTATTAAGGAGCGATGTCAGTATTATCGGATGAGTAAAGCGCAGGATGAGGCCGATGGAGAAATGAGGCACAAGCTGACATTCACTGTGGAGAAGCGCAGCAAGGGTCACAAGCCGTGATAAACGGCGCATTAAAATGGCAGGCAGCGTTTTGTTTGCTGTCTGTTGACTTGTAATAAGAGGTTAAATGCCAGCAGCCAGCAATAACACACATGCACGCTGGAATTTGGCAGTGGATACAAAAACAAGTAATTAGAAGCCTTGCTTTCAAAGTTCCAGAGACGCGTTCAATATCAAACTGACAGCCGCAGATATGAGCACAAAGAGGACAATTATATTGTACATTTTTACTTTCACACCGCTGAAAAATTGCTTTTCAAATGTCCGTGCGGGGAGCCAGCCGGAGCTGTGAAGGCGCATCATAGTAAATATTAGCAAACAAGCTGCCGTCATATCAGATGGATGGGAGATGGTTTATTGCTTTATATCATCTATAGAAAGGTTATTATAATGTACACAGCATGTGCTCAGTGTAGGCGCATGTCACACAGCGCAATACTTATTAATATTAATTGATTGTACAATACAAAGTCAGGACATAACAATGACACTGTGATGTAGGGGGTGACTGGGCTGGAAAGATACCCAATTCTATCAGGTTTACCTATTACT